TTTGAACAATTTCTCTTTTTATTAAAGTTCAAAGACTTAAAAAGCAATGTAATACATCATAATGTATAGTGGTAAGAATTATATATAACAGCAGAACATATCTAATATTTCTTTTAAAGAAGCTAAAAATATCTTAAAATCGTGAGCACTTTTGTTTGGAGAAATAAAAAATGGAGTCTTGGAACTTAAAGCAGAAACAAAAAACTTCGTGAGACAAATTCTCGGTCAACTTTGATCTCTTTTTTTTCTTGGAAGTAGTTGCAAAAAAGTAAAACAGAAGAAAAATAAACTCTTTCAAAACTGTCCTTTTACCGAGGAAAACTAAAAAGATGTAGACCAAATAAAACTTTTGTTAAAAATTGCCTTTATAAACATTCTAGTTTTATCAGTTTTTTTTTATGGAAGAACTTTAAAAAAAATGAAAATAAAAATGTATATATATATATATATATAATTGAAAAATTGAAAAAAATATTGGCTTTTGATTCTTTTTTGTTCTTATAAAAAAAGCAACGTCATTTTTCATTTTTCTTTGCAATAGATCTTAAATATCGATTTAGCCATAATAAGTTTTTACTAAATTCTGAGATGGCTGCTTAAAAAGCAATTAAAACTAAAAACTAATGGATCTATTGTAACAGTTTATAATCCTAATTGTTACGGCTTTTAATCCTTTTTCAACTCACACTCGATTTAATTAAATAATGTTTTTTCTGCTGATAAAATATCAGATGACTGAAGACGTAAACAACTTAAAAACCTATATATGAAAGAAAACATATCCGGATCAATTATTTTGAAATTTCTATTGAAATTTGCATGATCAATATTTGCACGTTTAATATATTCTTCTAACATATAGAATGAGTCATTATTGCTTCAAGAAGTTAAAAATACGACTGGAAATACATTCTATGTTGATATGTATAATGCAACAAATCCAAAGTTTATTTGTACAAAAATGAAAACAATGAATGGAATTAAATATGTGCATAAGTTTATCTTTGCTTTACTAAATGTGAGCTTAATTTATCCGTTATTTTTTCGCAAGCAAAGTAAATTGAGGAAAGTGGTAGTTTCAATTGCATTTTTTATTAACTGTCTTATTTTAATTTTTGTACTTTTTACAATAATTTCACTGATTGTTAATTCTTTTATAAACGCCTTTGTAGTAGGCAGCACTTTAACAGCATTTATATTCCTTTCATTTCGTTTCTCGCTTCTGATAAAATGTAATCGCATCATACGATTGGTGAACAACTTGCAACTGAATTTCGAAGAACGTGAAATTTCTACAAGTGTGCAATACATGTTATTGATGTTAATTTGGATTGTTTCAACTGCTATCATTCTTATTATGACTTTCATTCGTAGCTTAAAAAAGACAGCGGAGTCAACATATTATAGTGAAGCTATGTTCAATGTCAAGGTTGGCGGTGTCAACCTAATTTCGCTGACCGTTATTGGAACACTATTTTTTGTAGTAAATTTGATAATGCCATTTAGCGTATTTGCCTTTTACTATGTTACAATCTGTTATCAACTTAAGAAATTATTGCAATGTTTTAAGAATCGCATCACCAAACAAAGCCACATCAAATATGAAGTTGCTTTACAAATGTTCACCACAGAAGTTATACAAATAAATGGCATTGACAACGAATTGTCGTTTTTAATGTTCTTGAGCATTTCATTGAATGCGGTATTAATTTTTTCAGCTGTGTCTGCTGTATTTCATACAAATGTACTTAGAGGCACATCTCATATTTTATCGTTAGGCTGTCTTATCGTTAGTCAAACTACATCATTTTTTGCCATGATGATATCTGCTTCTAGGGTATCCGAAACAGCTGAAGAAGTGGCCTACATTCTATGTAGCTTGTCAAGCAAATGCAACCAGCATTCTGTGGTGAATCAACAGTCATTCTTACTTTTAGTTAAAGAAAAAGCTTATTTGTCGGCCTGGAAAATAATGCCCATCAAGCGAGGTTCTATCTTCGGAATTATTGGCGCTATTCTGACTTACGCCATTTTGATTGATAACCTGATATTGAATTAACACAGTTTTAAAATATATATATATATATATATATATATATATATATATANTATATATATATATATTTCTAATAAATAAAAGAATCGTATGATGTACAAAAGTCCTATGCATTTTGAAGTCAGACTATCCCACTTTATTCAAAAACATAACGTTTTTTTTAAGCTTTGCAGGAGTGAAGTTATTCTTCGTTTTTGCTATTTTTTTTTTTTTTTTTTTTTTTTTTTTTTTTTTTTTTTTTTTTTNTTTTTTTTTTTTTTTTTTTGCGTACTAATGCCGTTTTATATCTGCTACTATTACCTTGTTCTGATGGTAATACTCTGAATTAAATGTATATTTTCCTTTACAATACCTCTTATTTACGGTCACTGTTTATTACGGTTTTTTTTTTAATCTGAAATATTCATGCGAAATTTCCATGTTCTAATTTTACTTTTTGAATCCAATTTTAAATATGTGATTGAAACAATAACATTATACTTTTTTCTTGAGTAGTATGTTTGATTATGGCATTTCAGCGGATTTGTGTTTTACTATGTTGCCGTCTGCAGTTATCTCGAACCCTTTCAACGTTTCAAGAACCTCTTGATGCCAGATTGCGAGAAACACATTAATTTGGAAGTTGGTAGCGATGCGAAACTTAAGTATAGAAGTTAAACAGTTAAGTAACACTGATATGAATTAGCGGTTTTTTGTCTTTCATGTGCATTTCTTAAAAACCAGCATTAGTTTTCGTATCTGTTAAACTTCATCTTTATTCTATACGCGTTCAGATCTTTAGTATTTGTTTGTGTTTTAATAAAACTTTTTTTCCCTTCTATGTTACGGCTTCTTCAAGGCATCCGAAACAATATACAATTCATCAAGCAAATGTAATCAAAATTCTATAATGAATAAGCAATATTTTTGACTTTAGTAAAAGAGAAAGCTAAATTGATGCATAAAAGAAACACAATGATTAGGAATTTCATTTCATTGGTGCAGAAGAAACACAAATAAGTAACATATATATGAACTAGCGTTTTTGTTTTTCAATAAATGGAACATTAATTTTCGAAGCTGCGTCTGTTTAACTTCATGTATATTAAATACACATTCCAACCTCCAACATTAGGTAGTCTTTTAGCAAGTTCTTTTTTTAGGTAGTCTTTTTGCAAGAACTTTCTTTTCTACGTCATTAAGATATTCGAAATGCACCAGGTATCCGAAATATTGTTCTTTGACTTTCAGGAACAAAAAGAACTGAAATGACTCTTCTTTTCTATTATTTCAGTAATAGATAAGACGAAGTTTTATTTTTTGGAAAAATTAGGACAATTTTAACTTATATAAATTTTATTGAAAATTCGACGTTGTGATAGTATAATCTTTGTTTTTATTTTTCTGAATTGTGAAAAAAGAATTTGGGCTGTAGAAGTTGTCCAAAATTTATTTTTACTGGTAAATTTATCTTCTTTATTCTTAATTTTTATATTTTTTAGTGTTAATGATCCAATATTTTAAAAATCTATCAAGTGTCAGCAGTTTATTTTTGTATTGTTCCTTGTAAAACATTCCAAAGCGTCTAAATTGATTAGATTCTAGAAGTTAGGAGAATTATTTTCCATAAGTAAAGAGAATTTTCAGCTATCGAAACCATGCCGTAATAGCGTGCACGTTTTTATTTTGAAAGGCATCAGAAATAATATAATTTATTAAGCATTGTAAATATAAAAAAAATTATTTATAAATTATGCTTTCGATAAAAAAAATGGTGCAAATTGTAATATGGACACAATTACTAAAACCAGACGAAATTCTTCGTATATTTAACATATTAGACATAATAATATAATTTGGTCTTTATGAGCTGATCATTCGAAGATTTTGAGTCTGCTTTAGTAATTGTGTCTGCATGGCAATTTATATATAATCCCAATGGAAGATGCATCATAAGAGTTTTAGAAAAGTAATTTTTTTTAGCAAATTTTAAATAATTTTATAATTGTGAATCATGTCTATAATAAAACCATTTACATGCTTTCTTCACTTATAATATCATCAAAATCTTTTTAACCCCTTCCTTCTCGCTCCAGTCAAAATGACGGAGTGAAGTTTCACTCTCTATGTCTCGTGCCCGTGATATTTCGGAGCCGGTGTGTTCAAAAGTAACGAGTCGAAAAGATAAAAGCAGTCTATTTCTTATTCGCGGAATCATGCTTAATTCTCAATCTATACACCAGATGGTAGTGCCAGACTATTCGTCATGTGTTTAGAGATAGTTTATATTAAATTAGATGTCATCACTCAATGAGCGTGTAAGTTAAAAATTTACCCAAAAATTAAAAATGAGCACATATATTGTATATACACTTAGTGTTAGATAATTTTCTTGAATATAAAAATTATCATTTTTATAACCTTTTTCTTCAAAATTATGTGACCATTAATGGGTTTATTTGATAGATGACAAATGTGCACAGATTTTATTTCTGGTATAATATGTCTTAAAATAACGCAATTACAAAACAATGTGATAATTACGCGAAAATTTCTCTTCATATTGTATAGTGATACGATGCACATTAATGCATTGAATGACTATTTTTTAATATTTAAGAACTGAAAGTAAAAAAGCATAGAGTTAAAGCATTTGAAAGCAATGATAAATTTTTTTTAAAGAATAATGTTTAAAGGAGATAAAGATGAAAACTTTATACTGTAAAAACCGTAACTTATGATTACAATTAAGAGGAACACAATTTATTATACTTGTTTTTATAAGTCTTTTTGCATTTTAATTTTTCTTATACTAGAAATTAGTGCACTGAATAGATTTTTTCCCTGTCAAATATCATCTTATAATTATTTAACTTTCTATTTCATGTGCATTTATCTTGAAATATTGTACGGTTGTGTAATTTTAAAAATCTACGAATTTGAAGAAATATATTGATACAAAAAATTTTGGGTCACATAATGTTTTATTGAATTTACTTACTAAAATACACCATGAATATTTCAAAGGATTAATATGTGATAAAACAAACAAAATTTTAACGAAAAAGCGTAAAAACAAGCAAAATTTTTTACAAAAAAAGCGTTATTTGTATGCTTTTATTATTACTCTATTTGTTTATTCTTCAACCATATAGGCTCTTTAAAGCAAATTGTAAAATGATTTTGTTCTTCAAAATGGAATGTTCTTCATTTCTCTGAAATAGAAAAAGAAATACACATTTAGTTTTAGTACTTCGTCCCAAAAAAACATAATAATTAATAGTTATTATAACTATTATTAATTTAGTAAGGGTTTTTTAATTTTTTAAACGATTACAATTTCAATAATAATTTTTATATGCACATTAAGGTAATCATGTTTTTATAATGATTTAAAGCTAGCACATGGTGCATTGACAAACAGCACTGATAAATGACCATCATAAGATTCTAAGAATATAAAGGATTATGTTATTATGGAACACCTGGTATATTAAAGAAATCACAAATAAATAGTTTCTTGTTCATCTTTAAAATTTTTCAAAAGAATCTAAAATTAAATAATATATTTTTACTATAATGCTATGAGATGTAATTCATATATTTAATTTATTTTAATACATATTAATTCAATTTAGTCAAAATTATTTCATTTAACCAAATTGTACTTTAAAATAAATCCAAATTCCGTAAAAAATAAATTTTTTTGTAAAAATAAATAAATAAATAAATACTTCTATAATGTTGTAGATTGAGAATAAAAGAAATTGCAAAATTGATAAAAAGAAATCGTAAAATTGCTAATTAATCAATAATTTTAATTACGTTATTCTGAAAGGAAAACTCTTGCCAAAGAAATGATAATAAAAAAAATTATAATTTTCTTAAAGATATTTAAGCTGATCATCAGTTTTAAAGTCCAGACAATTCTTTTCAGCAAGATAATATAGATATTGCTTCGTGTTTAATAAATAAAAACTACCGCCTTTTTTTTTATTTTCCTTAGCAAAAAGCTTTTCATAACATTTTCAATATCTTATCATTTAGATATAATTCGAAAAACACATTATAAAATCATCTCAGCATTGATAAAAATCATTCTTTTATTATTCTTTATTTGACAAACAAACCCTTTTTCTTTTCAGATTTTAAAGTAAGAATTTTCTTTGATTTTTTTTTTTTTATATTAAAGGCACTGTTGGCACTTATCCCGCCATTTACAATCAACGAGTACATCAACTGGGAATTTTATTACTTTTTTGCACAATAGGTAATCTGGGAATTGGAGAATACCTCTGGTAAAGGACATGATCGGTTTATGTACGTTTTTCCCCCTGCACTCAAAAAGAGAATGGAAGCATATTCAGAGACATGAATTTCATATGTACTTTCTTCAGTTGCATAATAATAATAATAAACCAAATATCTTTATGGGCTTCACAATGGGAATTTCTTTCCTACCTCTTGGTAGAAAAAGAAAGATAAAAAAAAGGGAATCTTTTATGAAAACTACATAAAAATATAACTTCTGTCTGGAATATTAATTTAATCGTAAATTTTTATTGCATGCAAAAAAAAAAAAAAAAAAAAAAAAAAAAAAAAAAAAAACATTTTTTGATCACATCGATAGGCCATTGCAAAATAAATTTGTCCTCTTTAGTTAAAATTATAGTGATTTAAAAAAAAACACTTTCCTCAATAAAACCAGCTACCTAATATTAAATAAATAATCCTAAGAAACTGTGTAACGGTAAGATATTACTTGAATAAAAGCTTCAATCGCTTCAAAAATATACCAATTGAAGTAACTGTTGACGTGTTCAAAAGTACCGGCACTCAGGATGCCGGTACTTTTTATCGGAAAATGTTGCAGAACAAAAAAAGAAGAAAAACTGATAGACCATAATTACTGTAAAAATTATGGTATAATACTCTAAGGTGAAGATGGATTTTACGGATGAAAGTGTAGGAACTTTGTTGCGTAATTTGATCCAGAATGCTTTACAGTGCTTAAAAAGTACCAGCACTCAGGATGCCGGTACTTTTTACCGGAAAATGCTGCAGAAAAAAAAACTGATAGACCATAATTACTGTAAAAATTATGGTATAATTCTCTACGGTAAAGATGGATTTTACGGATGAAAGTGTCGGAGCTTTGTAGCGTAATTTGATCCGGAATGCTTTACAGTGCTTAAACTATTTGTATCGATTTTAAGATCGACGAGGTTTTTTCAAAACCTCATCTGTTTTTAAACTTTCTGGACACTTTTGGACTTATGGATTTGGTCTAATTGTAATGGACCTCTTGGGGATTAGAAAAAAACAACAACAACGAACTATTTAAAGAGGAATTAGTTTTTAAAATAGTCATTTTCGGCATAAATTACTTTACTAATGAAGTACTCTTTTCATAACTGTACTATTTGAAGTTATTTTTAATATTTTATCTGATATGAAAGGTGGTATCTGGTATATACGGTATATCCTAAATCAGAGAAAAATATTCTAGTGAAATTACCATACATTACGAAATCCGCAATAATAAAACCAAAATATATGCTATTTATACTATTCATTTGACAATTTTTCCGTTCTTGTGAATTAAGTCCCGAGAATTTCGGTTTTTAAATTATGGTTCTTATTACCGCACATTTAATAAAGAATACAAAACTGAAAAATAAATTTAATTGAATAATTAGTTTTTAAACTATGTTCTAAGTTATCATGAAAGATTACCGAATTTTCCACTTGTATCAAATTTGTTACATATTAAGCAACCATATTTTATTGTTAATTTTACCAAAATAATTAACGTGCTTCGGTAATAATTACCGAGCTTTTTGGTGTTTCCATAGAGCCAGAAACACGGTAATTTTACCTTATCTCATCGAAAAGTCAAGATGAATCATTTCTTAAAAAATGCCGTTGTCATAAACACAATATTAGTTGCTTATTTGCATAATTATACTATTTATAGAAGTTCGTTACCATTTGTAATGATAAAGGAGTCATAAAAGTTTGGCTTATATTTTGTTAAGGATTCTAGATCAAGAGTAGTCAATAGTAAACAGCCTGCATATTTTCGAAATATATCTTGCGTTTGCTTTTGCGAAAAGCATTTCTGATCTAGATACATAATTTTACTTACTTAGATCTTTGAGGTGAATTTTATACTGCCTTATCTTTTGTAGAGGAAGTAGGGAGAGGCGTATGCACCATAAGTTGTTGGGTAATTGTAGTAGCTGTAGTAGTCATATGGGTATCCTCCTCCATAATAACCCCCGTAGTAGTAGGGTAATGCTGAAACTGCTGAGAGGAGAGCAAAGAAAAGGAAAAAGATAGCGACCTAAAAGTAAAAATAAATAAATAAGTGAACTAAAAAGTAAGAAGAAAGAGAAATAAATAAATAATTTTGAAAGCATTAAAAAATTGCTCACTTGGAAGAATTATACATATTTTTAAAATTATTATATATATATATATATATATATATTGGAAATTAATTAATCATGTTCTACATAAACCTGAAAAATTTACAGTTGCTCTTGTTGTTACTTAGCCTCCTAGTGTAGGAAAGCCTACACCAGGTCCAAAAGACTCAGTCACCTGAGAACATCGAAGATCTTCTCCTGCTCAACAAACAGCTGTCTCTAGGAGGCTCCTAAACAATTAAGAAGGTGAGCAGGACTAGAGTGCCTGTATTGAACAGAAGCAAGAAGAAATTTTTTTTAACCATTCTGAAATCACATGCATTTCAAGTGACCACTTCTGAATCTTGCCAAGGCCGATTGTAAATTCCTGAGACCGCAGCAAAATTTAAAGTTAAACAAGTTTTCGATTAGAAACCTCAGGGCAATAGAAAAAGAGGAAGACCTAAAAATACTTAGAGCAGGATGATTGTAAGCGAATTGAAAACAATAGAAAAGACATGAAGAGATACAAAATATCTGACCACAAATGGAATGGAAATGAGATGGAAAGTGAGATGATGATGGAAAGCTATGATAGAAGCCCTATGCTCCAATTCGGAGTAAAGAGGAAAATGTATGTGTATGTAACGTAAAAAGTAACGTGACGTGAAAAGTATAAATAAAATATAGTCTGATGATCTAGTAGATAAGTAGTTTTGCACTGTTTTTAGAATAATGTATTCTATATCGAGAAAATTTTTCTTATTTTTTCAATTTCTTATTCCAAAGCAAATTATTATTATTATATTACTATTATATTATTATTGGTGAATATCTAAGCAGATTCTAAAATATTTTCAATATAATTTTAATTTAAATCATATAATACGTAAGTTCTTATAAAAGGAAAAAGTGAATATGAAATACACACTTTGTGAGTATGTATCGGATATTTTATCAGGTGAGAGATGAAATTTCGATAGATCGGTGTATTTTATCGGGATGAGATTTATATCAGACTCTGACAATATACTTTATATTTAAATAGTATTTTTATATGTGTAAATATTTCAAATTAATAATACATGCGTGAATTCCTTTCTTGGCATTATTTTCTTTTGCTTACATTTTTACTATCATATTCATAGACAAAATTTTAATGAAAATAAATAATACTTTTTTTTCCAAGTTGTTAAAAAAGTGTAATGTAAACTTTAAACATATAGATATTAAATTTCTAGGAGCAAAAAATTCAGTAAGTAGCTGATATCTACAATTGTTTTCTAATTTTCAATTTCAACATTTTGTTTTTAATAAGATGTGTCATCCCATTTATGAAATCAAACATTTTTAGTAACAAGTAATCTACTGTAATGATAGTCCATAATTTGAAAGATAATCTTTAAAGAAAATCTTTTAAGGAAAATATGAATCTTTTAAAGGAAATATGAATGAAAAGTGTTCCTAAACTTTGACATTAGGATAGTCAAGAACATAAATCCTGCATTTTTAACCATTTCTATTAGAGTTTTATTAACACTTTATCTCTTATAATTTTTTTTTTAAAAAAAAGGGAGGGATAATTTGCTTGTGACATGTTAGAAAGTATTCCACTGTAATAATTTGTACATGCAAAATTCGAAAGTTTATTTCAATGGGCTTCTTTTAAAAAATATGAAAGCAGAATTTTCCTAAACTTTAGCTTCAAGCATTGATGTCATTCATTGTGGCATGTTAGGATGTATTCACCTATAATAATTTGCGTGCGAAATTCGAAAGATAATTTTAACGCAATTCTTTTAAAAAACATAATCGCGGAATTTTCCTAAACTTTAGCATCAAGCATCAGGAGTATAATCGCCTATTTTTTATGTAATTTCGTTTAGTATTTTAACATATTAGCTCTTATCATTTTTCTTAATGTAATGTATTTGATTACTACAGATTAAGGAAATAGAATAATGTGAGCTATTAACATTAGCTTAAAACTTTTACATCAGAGTACAATCCTTATATAGGAATAGAATTTTTCCATTTTCAAAAATAATTTTTTGCAAGCATTTTTTCTAGACTCAAACAACTTAAATATTAGTTTCGTCCAGAATTTATAAAAATATAGATATAATTGATTTATAATATAAGTGACCATTTCTCCCAAGTACTGCAAAAGAAAGCATGTTTACTTACTAAGGTCTTCATGTTGTCAGGTAGTAACTGACTTCACAAAAAAAAATTTACTGAATATAGCAGGCGATGAACACCAAAGCACCCAAAAAGCTTATGTGACATAAGATTTCCTAAGCACCCTTTCTTTTTATACCAGCAAAAATGACCTTGCAGCGTTGCATTAGGGGTCATCATTTTGCACAAATTTTCAGCTCATTTTCTCAGCCCTGCTGTTTCATAAATTCATTTTGTAAGAGTTATTTGTGGAAGAACAATCATATTGATATATGATTGCTGTGGAAAAACCTCTAACTTCATAAGCGCTCTCTTGAATTCAAGGTATGCACAATACAGGCGTGCGAAATGAGTATATCTCTTATTCAAAGTCATCATAACGTGTCTGCGAGCTACAAGCTTCGCCTATTGTTTTCGGTCGTTTGTGTAATTCTCCTTTATTTATTATCAATTTCATTTGCTGATGTTTAACTTAACACTCGTCTGAGATCTTGCAAAATCTCTCTTTAGAAGAGAAAGTGCTAATAATTATTGCTACAATATTCTAAAGGTGTATTTTCGTGATATCGTCTGCTACTCCGTTATCGAAGCGTGAATTAGTAGAGGCGAATAAAATTTGTATTTGTTCTTAAAATGTTATTCTTTGACATTCAAATGGCAGTGTTAATTCAGAAATAATGTGAGTTTTACAAAGCACGATTTTTATTATGGCCGTCTGATTCATTTGAAAATGGCAGACAAACGATGACTAAGAGGTTATTCAACTATATAAATATTTAAAATTCGTTTAGTTCTGATGAACTAAAATGACAAAAGATTCTTCTTTAAAAGCTGATCAATCAGAAAGCTGAGTCATTTATTTATCTTTTCGTTTGTCTGGTAATTCTTCGTAGTATTTAAAATGTTTTTAAAAAAGATCGTTCACGTGGTTTATACTGGGGCCCTTTTCAAATGAGTGTTAGGTCATTTATCCTGATGGGAATGCTTTTGAGGATGGTATTTATGCCAAATTATGAAATAAAAATTATTAAATTTTACAAAGATGGAATTCAAATCCATTCAAAGCGTTTAATATGTAAATAAAGTATTAATAAATCCACTTTTTTATGCATTATTTTGCGAATAGCGTTTAATTTGCAAAAGTAACATTTTATTCAAACCTACTTTGAACCTAATTTACTTTAAATACTCTTTTATAAAGAGATTTTGAAAAAGAAATTTTTTAATCATTTAACAGGAAATACTAAATTGTAATCTGATAGTATAAAGATTTGTTGCTTAGATATAATTTTAGTAATCCGTGCTCATTTGTAATATTAAAAAGAAACGCTACTGTATAGCATTTTTAAAAAAAATTCATTTTTTACATATTTTGATAGTGGGCAACCAGGAAACATTATTCAGAAAAGTATAAGCTTAAACTTATACGAATGAGAGGGAATTTGCACATTTCATAGTAAAGCATATATGGATGAAATTAAGATTAGTTTCTGCAAACTTAAAATGGAGTTTTCTGAAAAGGCTTTCTCACTCTGTAATTTATTTAAACATTAAATAGCATTCACATAAGAAATAGTTTTCCAATCTTAATTTAATTGCAGTTTTTTTTTTGATTAATTGAAAACTTAAACATAGGCTTTAAAGAACACTTTTTATTTAATGTGCTACCATTTTATTAAAAAATGTGATGGATATCAGACATTACATAAATAATCTACAAGCTGTTTTACTTTCAAGAAAATCAGATAAAAGTTGTAAGAAATTGTATACTGCGGAAAAGAAACACGCTATTAATTTCTCATAGTTTATCATGGATTATACTAAATTTAGTTTAAAACGTGTAAAAATAAATGTTCTTTTTAAAAAAAATGATTCTTTGATTTATAAATCTTACTGTAGAAAACAACTTTAAGCCACTTTTTAAAAAGTCTTTAATACAATAAGGTATCTGAAAATTGTAAGTGTTACATGTTCAAAAGAAAATAATGCTAACATTTAGTAGTATTTTTTTTAATAAACTATACAGGTATAAGACAAAATCAGAGCATTTTACTGCTATCCTGTGGCATTGTAGCATAGACACTTTTTAATACATATCACCTCTTTTTCGAAAATTGAAAACTTTAAGCGTTAAAAAAGGTAGCTATCCTTAATAATGTCAGACATTTTCTTTTGAAAGATTTCTTAAACTGCGCTAAACTTTATAAGGTTCATTTCAAAAATGAAGAAAAAAAATTCGAAACAAAATTTAGAAACAAACTGAAATAAAGAAATTCTCAAATGCTATAAAACACTCAGAATCTCCATTTATCTGTAAAAAAATAATAAAATGCTCATGGGGTGCATTTTTTTTATACCAAAAAAGCAGCGATTGAGTGGTGCTGGCAATCAATATTTTAATCGCCATTTATTATATTTAGTTGCCCCGTGTTCGGTAGCCACCGTTAATTTTACCCTACATGTACAAGTAAAACATTTTATATCGAAATCTTAAAATTTCGAAGTTCAAATTGAGTCCTTTAAGCAGATATAATTTTTAATCGAAAGCGTGAAAATGGTTGGTTGGTTAAAAATGGATTTAGATCGCTGAATCCATAACTAAATAAAAAATAAAAAATGTAAAAAAAAGAAAGAAAAACCTTTAAATAAAAAGTTATTTGTTTAAAATTGACTGTTTTAAAATGTGTTATTTGTAACTGAAAATCAAGTAATGACGTAAGAGCTGAGAACTAAAGATTTAAAGTTAAGATAGTAAAAACAAATTAAATGCATGTACAGGCTGACAACATTGTATTTTTATCTATCTTAATTGCATTTTTCAGATAATATTTTCGAGACTTTATATCTTTTGATGTTATCGGAGTGAGTAAAACAAAACTGAGAGAGGAAAAATATCTTGCATATTATCTTTTAACATTTCCCAAAGGAATAAAGAAAACATTCGGATAATAATTGCGAAATAAGGTTATCTTTTATTTGACGCAAAACTAAACATAGATAAACTCAAAGGTTTCGCGCTATCGGTGTTATGAAAAAGCATCAAGTGTTTAATTATTTTTTTTACTGTTTTCTTAAAACTCAACATATTATTTGGACATTTCAAAATGTCGGAACGGACTGGTAAAGACGATTTTATTTTCACGTGGATTATTGAAGATTTTTTTAGCAAAAGTGATTTGCTCATAAGTCCGGAATTCACCATTGAGTCACTCCAAAAAACTGTGTGGTGTGTAGAATTGTACCCAAAAGGCTTGCATTCAGACAAATCTGTTGATTTATATCTACGGAGAAAAGATGACACAGGACCCCAAAGCATTACGGTAAATTACGCCATTTCAATAATTGCAGCCAATGGAATCAGTGTTTTGGATACAACAGCTGATTACCAGGTATTCTTGAAAAACTCAACTCTCAAAATACCCAAAATATGGGATAAATCTGATTTACTGAATAAAACGAATAAATATTTACTCGATAACGCGCTTACTATTCAGTGGCGTATGTGGACATGTTTTGCTCCAGAACCTGCTTACAACAGATGCACCGCTGTTACTCGATCAGAAGCAGAAACTGCTTCATTCAAAAAAAGCATTAAAAACTTCAGTGCATTTTACTCAGGGCATAGAGTGACTATACCTATACCTTTGAATGGGAAATATGAAATGATTTTACGGATGGAAAAGAGTGGTTTTGGCGAGTGCCTCGTTATTAGCGTGAGAAAAGGGGATGAATCCCATCAACGTTTATTTTGTAAACTATCTCTCCTAAGTTCTGCTGGCATTCCTTTGGCGACCAAAGAAGAGGAACACGTTTTCAATACTGGGAAAAAATCAGAATGGAGCTTTCCACCTTTCACGGAGTTTGAAGAACTGAAAGCGGTTAGTACTTTTTTAAGGAATGATACTTTGTGGTTGTATTGTGAAATGGCAGTTTTTACTGACAAAGAAACCTCAAAAATAACAGAAAAGAGATATGTTCCATCACATGAGGAATCGTCTGACAAAATGGCACAATTTAGAACTCTAAGTAATGATCTGAGTATTGCTTACAGAGTTAGCAAGTTTACCGATGTAGAGTTAGTTGTAGAGGGTGAATCATTTTACGCCCATCGTTTTATTTTAAGTGCAAGATCATCTGTCTTTAAAAACATGTTCCAAACTGATACGTTTAAAAGTAAAAATGGCCGTGTTGAAATAACTAACGTGGATGTAGAGAGCATGGACGACTTTTTAAAATACCTTTACACAGGATCATTAGATGAATTGGACTTTGATGATGCCATCAAGTTATTTGTTGCTGCCGATAACTATATGATTCCGGAGCTAAAAAAGGAATGTGTGACTCGTCTAAAGAAAAATGTGACGCCTTCGAACGTCTGCGATCTCATGAATCTTTCTAAAACTCATCAAGATGAAACACTAAAATCTGCTGTGGAAGACTGTTTATATTCTCATGCAGATGAGATTTTAGCTTCGGAAGAGTGGAAGAAACTTGTGATAAATGACGTTAGCTTAGCCACTGAAATGTTGCAGAAATTAACCACAAAGCAACGCAGCTATTAATTGAAAAGAAGCTTGTTCCTATACATTGGGAAAATGGGCTAATTTAGAGATTTCTGTAATGGTTAATGAATTACCCGTTCGAATATTACGTTTTCCATTATGGTGTAGAATTATTTAAGTTCAAAAGTTTATCATTTGCTCACTGAGTTCAAGATTTTCTTATTTGTGTTGCCATTGTGTCCATCACTTGCTCATTAATTTAAAAGGCAAAAATCACTTGTTTAAATAATGTGTTTCAGGGTTTAAATGTAAAGGTAAAATTGGTGTAACGCATATCAGAAACTCATACTTTTCTTAACTTTATTAATGAATGGTCATATGAAGATTTAGACTTTAAAAATGTTATTAAATTATTTGCTGCAGCTGAGGAATATGTCATCAACTCTTATTAGATATTATCAAATATTCCATTATAGCTGGCTTGATTTTTCTTAATTTTTATAAATCTATATTGTTTATTATCTATACATTGAGTACAAGGTAATCAAAAATATGACATTTAATCATATGTCTATATACTTCGAAATTATTTGAATTAAGTAAAGAAAACTTGCAACCTTTTAACATGCAATCTATATTTCCGGATTTTT